AAGGAGTTCTTGCTGAACTGAGATTTGGAACTCCTCCCATGCAGTGAGTAAAGCGTTTCTGCAGAATGAACTTTCCAGCAAATAAATGAAATTAAATGTAACACACTGCTGAAAGTTGTATTTTGGTTTTCTGCCTGTGATGACAAAGATAAAGTTTCTTGAAAATGTTGTAAATGTCCTAAAGAAGAAGCTTGTGTAAATATGCATGTTACTGAATTTTGAAGGTAGCCATAAATATATATACATATATAAAGTAAAATATAAAGAAAGCTAATAGTTGCATTATGGATGACTATTAGGAACTGTTATTATTCTTAATCATAATTATGTGAAAGAAGTTAAAAGCGAACTAAGATAAATTATTTGAATAATTCTGTAATTTGTCCCAGGATGGAGTTTAAGCATGCAATTAACAAATGTATGTTTTGAGACATATTCAAGGCTGAAAAAGTTCCACTTGCATTTTTCTTCACAAATAGAGTGTGTTGTAAGCTGCTCACCCCATCAAAACTGAAAGTTTTAAGAGCTTTCTCTTAAGGCAGGCAGGCAATATTACTTGTTGGAAAGCAGAAACCCTGGATGTGATTTAGTGCCCACCAGTAATTCGTATACATTTCGAAAACCTGTCATGATATATGACAGCTCTCTTGGGGACTTTGCTTTTAAAACAGAACTGTTTTCTGAAGATGCTGGGTTTTTTTTGTCATTGTTTTCCATTTCATTCACTCATTTTTCAGCATTAGAGACCACACATACTGGGCATACTTCTGGTCTCATTCTCACCCATGAAATTCTGACTTCAGTAGAGTTGCACGGGTGTAAATTAGACTAGGACTTGGCAGGAGGAAGCTTATGATTATATTTGGCAGAGACAGCAGGCTGCAACTTTATTAACATAATTAACAGCTACAAACACACCCAACAGGCCAAAGTAATCTAGTGACAGAAGAGAGAAGGTCTTAGTAGGAGAGGATCCTTCGCGCTCTCTTTTGGTGTTCTGCTTCTTGTTCCTGAGTTCCTACTAAGGCTTGGCAAGGATTCAATTGAGCTGTAATTCAAATTCATACAGCTCCTGCAAGACACCTTGAACAGACTTTTGCTGATGAGTCTATAGGAACTGTCAGCAATACGGAGATTACTTCAGAAGCGTGATGGTTGAATCGAACTTTACTTTCTGATGTTTTGCTTTTTGAATTAAATTGTTGGACAAGATTAATTGCACGCAGTAAGAGATTTAAATGAATGGCTTTATAAAGCATTAAAGTTCTAAGTATGTCACATGGGAAAAAAGCTGTAAGGTTTAAATGAATAAATGTATTTAATGCATAAAATGTCTAGGCTAATTTTTTAATTCCTTTACAAACATATTGAAAAACCATACTTTATTCATCCATCTTAGTTATACTGCTGTGGTTGTGGTAATTTAATATTCCTGCTCTTTGCTAATCTTCTGGTTCAACAGAAGTAAACAATAGGTTTCATAAATTAAAAATACGCTCCTCAGAACATGCTTCTAAAGATAAAAAACAAGGCTGTAAACATTTATGACTGAAACAAACTAGATTGTTCAAATACTGCCATGATGTATCATGTATATCAATATGGCACTGATATCAGTTAGAATGCAAACAAGGTTTTAAATGATGTGCCCCTTCATTTCAGCTGGAGAATCCGCTTTACACCATCTGCCTATCAGATGGTTAGGAACCAGGACTGCGTATTAATGCCACATGTTCGATTTTCATTCCTCTTGTAATGGTTAGATTCATATTGCTAATAGCTGTGCATGAGCACTGTCGATGAAATTTGTGTGACGATGGAGTGATGAGATATTTATAAAGCTGCCTGTCGCACTGCATAATCAGCAGGAAGAATGCCAGACATAAACAACTTATCAATTTCAGAATATTAATGACAACTACCATTGCCTTTAATCCACTGAATATTTTGGCCTGAATACTTTTTAACTGTTCAAATAAATATTTGTAAAGACCAAAAAAGTGTGCACCTTGGAAATTCCTTGGCTACTTATTCTGGGAGTAATTTGATATTAAATAATGTTTACATCAAAAGGCTTTTTCAAAGAATAAATTTTTAAAAAATCTTAAGTGTTTCCCCGGGTGTATACCCATACTGGACTTTAAAACTTAGTATTTTAAAATATAAATATAGATACATAATGATGCATTAAATTCTGCTTATAATATATTTATCTGCCTATACTAGTGGTATAAGAAAGGTAAGTTGAGCCCTATGCTGAAGTTCTGGGTTATACCACACCCCAGTACACCACAGTGCATCAGTGATTATAAAGCAAGAGGCTCTGATAACTGGCTTTGGGCCTCCCTTGCCACTTGCTTTGCTATATCATCACAGTCAGGTGATAGGGAAGAGCAGCAGTAAAGGGGAAACTGTGCTGTAGACTAGAATTGCTGTAAGGACCACCATTAATCTAGAATTCTGAGCATCATTCCTTCCATTTCCCTTCTTACTTTCACCAGTGTTTACAAGAGACACGCATTTCAGATTTATATGGTTTCCATTAATTGCTGTATAGCAAACTAATAATTTCAGTAATTTCTGTGATTGTGTAAGAGAAGGAATGAAATTATTAGTTTAATTTCTACTGTTTAAAATTATCATTTTTTGCCACAAGCGTTCTGTGGCAAAAATCTTACTACAGAACTAAGCAATTTGTATTTTAGTTTCACAGTCCCCATCCAAAGAGCATACTCCTTTTCTGCAAATTTTGTAGCAAAAGAGAATTTTCATTTCAGGAGTTCTGCATCCAGGTCATTATTCCAATGAAAGAAAATAATTGCAGGTGGTGTCACAAGTCCTATGTCCAGCATCTCCTTAGCATGTACTTTATCCCTGTGCTTGGAAGCACTTTAAAACTGTTGGTCTAAAAGTGGAGTCACAACCAAAAATTTGGGGCCTGCTGTTGTAGTCATTGAATATAATGTACCAGGATATTCCTCCAAAGAATTGTTCTTTAAAAAAACTAGGTTTAACTTTTCAGGGATGTATACATATATTAAAAAAGGAAGTATAGGTTATTGTGTTGTTTAATGAGCACCGGATGCAAACCAAAGTTCAGAGGTGCACCATCCCTTTTTCTGTGGCCAAATTTAGGAACTGTAACCAAATTTGTATAATGTATGGCTTCATATCCTTCCTCTAAGGTAAAAATATAATTGGAAGCAATCCACGTTATTGTCAATACCTTGTTAAGATCAGAACATGCACATTTTATGATAGTAGCAGAAGCTAAAATCAAAGTAACCCCTTGTATTTACTCACCTTCTCATTTATTTTTGGATTTTGGTACATCTACCTGAAACAGCATTTTTGTAAAGAATATTGATCTGTAATTATCACTTGGTCAGTAATTCTCATTACACTTGGAGGTGTTAGAAGTTGGCCTGTGAAGAGGTCGGGAGGCTGGAACTGTTTGCTAATCTTTATGTGGTCATGCAAAGCAATAAGGGAAAACAACCTTCAGTCAAGCAACAATATATTCAAAGGCACCTCTTATGCCACCTCACAGATTTCCTGATGTCTGTTCACCTTCTGCTTTTTCCCTGCTGGAATTTGCCTTCTGTCCCTCCCCATCACTAGCCAAAAACATGGCAAAAGTGAACTTGTTTTCCATGTAAGGAGTCAAAGGAGACAACAAGAGACCCTGGGAAGCAATGGTGCTAGCAATATTTACCTCAGCGGCCTGGGATTATTTGCTTATTTGGTCTTTCCTAAATTGCACTCTTCCTATGCTAGACCGCAGCCTTAGAATAGTAAATTGTGGAGTTAGTTTCTCTTGAGATCAGTAGGACACTTCACACCTCTCAGAGTAGCTGAAAATCAGACAAGCAGGCACCTTTAAACTAATTACATGGAGGTTTGCAAGCCTTGTCCACATTCAGGGCAAGAATCTTGATTCAAAATGACTGAGGGTCTGTTCTCTTCATGTGGCATCACAGGCTGGGGGCTGAGAGTGCATCAAGGCATTAAACTTACCTGCTTTATTGCCTTCTCTTTTATTTCTTAGATTTAGTTCTCTGTCATTTCCATCTCTGTCCCCTGCATCAGTTGTGTGGGGGAGGCAGCTCTTGTGAAGTTTTGACACTGGCTTCTCTCTGCTGCCGCCCAGGCTGGGGCAGAGGGATCTGGGTGAGCAGCAGCAGGGCTTGGGGAGCACGGGAGGATTACCCTGCCTCAGGGAAGAGGGCAAAAACTGGCGCTTGTGACTTTGATTAAAGGCTGCATCTAATTTTGAGTTTTGAAGGCAGCTCTTGACAAAGAGAATTTTTTTCTGGGTTTGTAGAACATTCTTGTAAATGGCTGTATGGCAAAAACTTGGTTTGGTAGGAAGAGCACTTGAGTTGCCTGTCGGTGACTTTGGGATTGGTATTAAATGGTTTAATACTTCCTCTTCTCATTGATAAATACTTTAATGCCTTCAAGACTTGAGAGAGCAGAATAATGTTCTGCATTATTTTTTTCTAGAAATGCTTCCTAGAAAAACTACATCTCCTTGCTGTTATGTATGTAATGAGAAATAATCTGAGTTCTGTAATCTGTTACTCATAAATAGAAATTCTAGACCTGTTATTTCTGTTTTCTTTAGCATGTCTAAAATTAAAGATCTAATGGGAATTTTTTTCCTAAATATGGTTATTTACCTATTCATAGTCAGACACTCAGGACACCATTTTGAAGCTAAATTAGATTTTTGACTGCATGTATTTGTAGCTGCATCTAGTTGTGATTTTAGTATGAATGCACTTACTAGACACCAAGTTAAAGTTTAGATGAATGTATAGGAGTAATTATCTAAATACGGTGTGAAACATTTTACTTGAAAAAGCTGATAGTTTTCAAAAGCAACAAGAGGAATAATACTCTGCAGCACTCTCTGTTCTTATGTAACAAGCATGGAGGAATAATAACAGTCCCTACATAGAATAATGAATATTAAATTTTTTCATAACTCTTTGCAGGTCTAACAGCAGCAGCTGCAGCAGCAGCAGCTGCCACCAATGCAGCCATAGCAGAAGCAATGAAAGTGAAAAAAATAAAATTGGAAGCTATGTCCAACTATCATGCAAATAATAACCAGCATGGAGCAGACTCTGAAAATGGAGATCTGAATTCAAGTGTTGGTAAGTTTCAGATATAGCGTTATTATATGTCCATAATACTGAGATATTTTATTAAAATGATAATCTTTCTGAACTTCCTTCTGAAGTCCTTGATTTGGTATAAAAAGTTGCATATTTGTTTTCCTTTTCTTAATGTTTTTAGTCTTATTTTGTACCTGACCTTTACACCAGCATTCAGTGCTGTTGTTACTATTACAAAAACATTCTTTTCTTTGCAGGCTACTTTTGCAGACTGCAGTTAATATTTTCCATGAAAGAAAGTGGTTTGATTGCTTAGAGTTCATTTTTCAAAGTACAGGTGGAGTGACAGATGATGGTGTCAAAGTGAAATTTAACAATGTCTCCTGCTCAGTGTGCTGGGTATTGACTTTAGGTAATTCAGAACACAAGCTTGAAAGCAAAATATTTCATACTTTCATGTGCCCTGTGACAAAAGGAAAACATACATACACAATAAATTCTGCCATGCTCTACAGTTCCTATCATATTTTATTTTAATAAACACGTTCTTAAAATGTAGTTAACATTTTTTTCCATTTCTTAAGCAGCCATCAGCAACTCTTGTTCTTTTTCACAAAAGAATTGTTTCAGTATACCTTATTCATTTGTTTGGACAATTTGTTTTGCTAAAGCATACTTCAAAGCTAGGATAACTTTTGTTGTTGTTGATTAAATCTTTAATCATCTGTGTGTGTCTGCTGTAAAATGTTTTGTTATGCCATTTCATTGTATTGGATCCTTTTATCATGTTGAGACAGTATTAACTCAGCAACAGAAATTCAATGACAAGAAGTACGTTCAGAAGACTGCAGGGAAGATTGGTGTATACTGGAATCAAATGGCCTCAGATAGGCTTTTTGTTTTTATTTTGGCCCTTTGTCTAGATCTTTTTTTTTTTCCAGTTTTTCATCCTCTAAATACATTTGGAATTAATCTTAGAGGGTAGGTACTAGCCTTAACATAAATAAATACATGATTGTGAGCAGTCTTTCTGTACAGTTCAGTAGACATCGGTAGGGTATTATTTAGAAATAATATGAATTGCAGTTCAAAGTACAGGATCACTTGGGTGCATACTACTGTAAATAGCAACAATATGTATGCATTACTGAATAAGGACATTATATGATTGGTTTTGTTTTCCTTTTAAATAAAGGCTTTAAAATACCGCTATGATGATGAAGAAAATAGTCTTACATTACTGAGATACCAACATATGCAGTTACTCTAATACAAGTGTAAAGATTGTTCTCTTGGAGAGAAAACGAGAGGGTGGAGAGCAGGTGTCTTTGAAATCTGGGAGGAGGAGATAGGTACAAATGAAGTGGAAGGACCAGTTGGCCTCTAGCACACTGGGAGAACAGTGAAGTAATGAGAAAGGGTGAACGGGGTAAATACTAGCCGAGAAGATAAAGACTGTGTACTAGAACTAGAAGTTAATTTAGATTTTCAGTCTTAGGTGAATCCATTATGTGAAATAAAAAGTTCAAATACTGATTTGTGGAGCTTCTATTCTGCTTGGCAGTTCTAGTTATCAACCACATGTGCATCTATGGGGATGGAAAAGTTAACAGGTAATCAGCATCTAAACCACAAAGAGTATTTGTAGAAAAGTGGATCTGAACTTCCTCTGAAGAAAAAGAAAAATATCTATTTTGAAATCCTTATTTTAGGCAAAATTTAGATAACTAATGTGCTCTTAGACAGCCTAATAATTTTCCCTGTTTAAGAAAATACATTCTAGCTATTTTAGTAGGGCAAACTTAGTGAAGCAAGATTATTTATTGTCATTGTCAAAATTTCCTCTCAGCCCCTTAACTTACTTGTTAGCTTCAGTTAATTTCCCAATTTAACTGAATGAAGAATTGTGTTAATTTTGTTCAGAAAAAATGGCTCTTCTGAGTAGAGTGAATAGCTTTTCAGTTGTCTCCAATCCATGAAGAATGGTTCTGAAAATACAGCTTTCTTGTCTGTGCATCTTGTCTGGATCTGCACCCTTCACACAGAGGATTTCTCAAGAGCAATTTTCTTTTATTTGGTTTTTTTATAGTGAACCCTGTCTAGTGTCCAGTGTTGGTCATGCATATGGAATCAGAGAAGTGACTCCTACTGCTATTAATGTCAGGGTATTATTAGGTTCATGAAGAGTTAAGTTCTTTGTTTATTAGTTGCATTTTTGAAAATTAGCACACTGTATTATCTTGACAAGAACTCATATTTCAAAGGTGTTGCTTGTAGTAGGTACGTACACTTTCTTCTCCTACATTTTTTCAGGAGTGTTTATTTATACATTTTGAAATGAATATTATCAAGTCCATATACCATTAATGTTTTAAATTATAGCTTGCTAGGGAAGAATATGAAGTATTACATTACTGAATGTTGACAGGAGGAAAGAATAAAACAAAAGAAAACAACCTGCTTTTAGTTTACATTTTAAATTAGCTTATGTGCCTGACCAAACTGAAAAGGAACAAATGATCTAACCAGACTACAAGCTTAACTGATTCATCCTAGCCCATATGTAGCAGGAATTATGGTGGGCGTGGATTTACCATCCTGTGCTCCAATGCCTGCATAAAGGTGGATAAATAAAATAAGAGCCCTTAGTTTATTTGTCTTATTGTGTTGATATATCAGGTTTACTTCCCAATTGTTTTGCTTTTTGGGTTTAATGAAATGCTTAATGTGTATTACAGAAATAATTCTTGTAGCCAAACGTTGTATAATTATACAGAACACTACACAAATTTATTAACTTGGTCCTTTGAAGCAATGGTCAAAAGGTTAGTGAATGAAGGGAGTCAAAGGAAGCCAATGATACTAATAAGTAATTATTTTATATCTCTCTTGTTTTGCTGGTAACCTTGAGCTTGCATCCTCCCACCAGAATTATCATTTTAGAAGGGGAAAAAAAAAGAAATTACAGAGGAATCAGAGTGAGGTATTAGCACACTGAGTAAAATATATGGCTGCAACGCCTTTCTCCCCCATCCACAATCAATTGGATTCTTTTAGTTTAATATTTACTTGCTAAGATGAGATGCTAGTCTGCATGGTGATAAACAGTCTGCTACTGGCATCTGAAGGTGACCTGTCAGTTCATATGGACAAATCTCCTGCTTACTGAAATGTACAAAATAAATCATTAAAGCAGGCAGGTGCTCATTCCCAGATTTAAATCACCATAGATTTATGATTTGAATTAATGCTTCATTTGGTCATAGAAATAGATGCTGAGACAAATGATATGCAGTGGTTGGGGCTTCCATACTGTAGCCATCCTAATATTGATTACTGAGATGTCTTTGCAATCTCTTGTTTATATCAAGTACTGTCTTGTGACAGCTTGGCTGATATGAGCTACATTGCAGATAAGAAGGAAAAATGTCCCAGGTTCTTTTTAGTGGCAATCCTACATACAACATGCAGGGTAGATAAATTATTGGGGTTTTGTTTAAAAAATGAATTCTGTAGGGCAGCAAAAGAAAAAGAAAGATTATGCTGTGTGTGGGGGATTTGTTTTTTTGTTGGATTTGGTGGGGTTTTTTATTTTTTTTTATTGTTGTTATTGTGTTTGGTTTTGGTTTTTTTTTTTGGTTTGGTGTGGTTTTTTTAGTTAATTACAGAATGAAAGAAAGAGAGTGGCAAGGTCAAATTTTAAATTTCACTGATGAAGTTCTACTCTTTGTCATATTAACATCTTAGTGTGATATGAGGATCAGTTGTATGTTTCCCATCTGATGCTCTGAAGCAATGGATAGGTAAAGCAGCTCAATCTTTTCCTCACTGCTTAAGTACTCACTGCCCTGCTGTCCTACTTCATTAACCTGCAGCAGCAAAAGATAAAAGCCTTTGAAAATAAATACCTTTTAAAAGCTATTTTTTTGGGCTACAGTTTGCTATCTGTAACTTGGTAGGAAGTGAAGGACAGTCCGTATACTTTAGCTTCCCGAACATTTTATATAATGAAAACACTATGCATACACTTTAGGGAATACTCAAAGGATTTGTTAAGACCTTTGCCACTTGCTAAAATATGACTCATAAAACTTGTAAACAACTATCAACAATAGTAAATTACTTGCTTAGTAGGAAATGAGTTCATATCTATTCAAAATGTGATCTCAAAACAGATGTCCCAAGAAAATGTCATTGTTTAAACGACATTCATACCAAAAAAATGCTATTATTTCTTTAAGGAAGTGAAGCAATCGTGAAGACTTTGGTGTTCTTAATTTCTAAACACAGTTAGGAAATACGAGGCAACATTTTACATTTGGCTAGCATGTTAATCCATAAACAACCACAAAATGTGTTGAAAATTAAGAGATTTTCTTGGCATGTTAGGTTTCCTCTTCGTCTGCATTACCTTGCAATATTTAAAATTATGACATAAATACAAGGCTTCCTGTGATGTGTTGTTCAAAAGTAATGCTTGCTTGTATACTATTCTTTTTTTTTCATCCAGAATCAGAGATAAAATGATTTAGGTGAAATTATTTTTCTCCGGTGACCTTGCCCAATAATAGAACAGTACAAAATGCAGTAATTTCCTTTTTCTAAACACATGTGTTTATTTTAAGGGAAAGAAATACTTTTATGGTTTCAGGAAAAAGTCTTGGAGACCTTGAAAAAGCAAATAAAAGGAAACAGAGAATGCAGGCCACTGAGCACAGCTCTGCAGTTGCACATCTGATTCTCTGCCTTGGCAATGTTAATGAACCTCAAATCCTCCCTATAATTAGATGAGGGAATTGCTTATATTTTCAAACAGATGATGCTGCTGTAATGAAACGATTGGAAACGATTGACAGGGAACTTAAAAGTGACTACAGTAGTCATTTAGTTTCTGGGTTTTGGGGTTGGGGTCTTTTTCCCTTTTTTTTTTTTTTTTTTTTTATGTAAAAGAAGATTGGCTGTAGATACAGGTCCTGGGAGAGGTAGTAATTTACACAGAATGCTATGACAGGTGTCTTTGTATAGCATGGAAATAAAAT